CGAGCTCTTTACTTGCCTTGCCTACAGTTCAAGCAACCAGACGCTCTGCGCCGGTACCAATCAAGGCAACATTTACACTTGGAAGCGACGTGTAGGCGTTTTCGATATGCCTGAAGACTCGTGGCAGTTGACCAACATATCGACAGTACGTGGCGCCGTTAAGCAATGCATCTGGGGATTCAACGAGTTGGCCAAGCCGTGCATGCTGATTAACTGCATTTCAAATGTTTACGTGCTCAAAGTGGAAGTTGATAATATCTACAAACTATATAATACTAAATATATATTTTTATTTTCACAGGAGCAACCTTTGTTATCATTTCACACCCGCGATTTGTGGGCAGTTCAACGTAATGCAAAAGTAATTTATCTCGAGCATGCGATCGGCAAGCATGCGCTCATTCAAACGGATTTTGCAATTATTGCCTTAGCACTTAATCAATTAAATATGATCATTAGTAACGGTCGCGCTATATCTGCATATAGCATTGAGAAGGTGCTAAAGGTGGATGACTATAGAATTGAGGAATATACAGATGATAGCACTACCAAGGGCAGCAATGAAAAGGATTCAAATCTAATTGTAAAACTCATACAAACGTTCAATGCGGAGTGTTTAGGCCTGCACATACACAATCAGAATATTTTCTGTTTAAACTCAAATGAAGTGATGATATATTCAATTGGTGGAGTTGTGCTCAATAAAATTTTGGCAAATGACAATGAAGGTGAGTAATGAAAATAGCTATGCGTTAGTCTTATTTATATTAAATTTCAAAATAAATAAATAATGAACTGATTTGTGGCCTTCTAGGGAAAATAATTGGCATGGACCTCACTGGTGTCTATTTAAGTGTTTTCACAATGAATGGTTTCGTTAAAGCTTATGATGTTTCTCGGCACGATCCTAAGTTAATTTTTCCGGGTAAATCAGGTTACGACTTATTTGATGATTTTGGTGAAGTGATTCTAGTTAAATGCAATACAGCTGGCACCCATTTAGCTGTGCTAATTGCAAATCGCAATTTTGTTCCAAAACCCATTCTATATTGTTGGAATTTCGAACGTAATCTTTTGATGGAACACAACCTCGAACATAATTCGAACGAAAGCAATAATAATTCTTGGTATGCCGTCCACACTTTTCATTAGATACGCGTAAGTATATTCGTTGATTATTTATACAATTTTTAGCATGCCCGTAAATGTATACTGGGATACTGATGAGCCACGTCTGCTTGCTATTGAGGTGAAATCAATGCAGCACTTACAGGAGCCAAAAAAAACTCCTCCAAAGGCTGGGGCCAGTTGCAATCAAAGTATCGAGTCTGAAGTTATGGTTTTATTTTTTTCTGACAAAAATAAATTGAATATACTCGAAACACGCTCATTGGTCATGGCGGAGCAACTGATCAATCTATGCGTACCTAATGTGGTGAGTATGAATATTAAAGCCTTATATATATTTTATAGTTATACATATTATTATAACCACCTATTTTAAATAAATATAGATAACTTTGGATATAAACATTGTTAAAGAACGTCCATTGCAAGATTTCGTCGATCTCATTAAGTGTGATCCGAACATACGAAAAATGGTTTTAAACTTCAGCCTACATATTGCCGAGGGCAACATGGATTTGGCTTATCGCTGCATACGATCTATTCAATCTCCAACGATTTGGACAAATTTAGCAAAGATGTGTGTTCAAACAAGTCGCTTAGATGTGGCAAAGGTATGCATGGGTCACTTGGGTAAGGCGCGCTCCGTACGTGCTCTTCGTCAAGCAATGGAAGATGATGACCTTGAAGATGAAGCAAAACTTGCGGTACTCGCTACCGAATTAAGTATGCACGATAAAGCAATTGAGTTATACAAAAAATGTGGCAGATTTGATTTATTGAATAAATTATTGCAGGCGCGTGGAAAAATAGATGAGGTTCGATAACGTTCCATATTTCTTTTTTAAGCAAAGTGTAACTCTAATTTAAAATTTAAATGATTCTTTTCGTAATATTTCGTTCATTTAGGCGATAAATGTCGCCGAGACGGAAGATCGTGTTCACTTAAAAAATACATATTTTCACAAGGCGCAGCAATTGAAAGAGAGCGGGGATATTAAAGCCGCACTGGAATACTTTGAAAAATCGCACAATCCGGTACAAAATATAACACAAACGCTTCTGGATAATCCGCTAGCAATGAAGGTTTGTAATACACTCGAAATTTAAAACATTTTTGATTACAAAGAATTCCATTTTCTAGCGTTATATGCAAAATTGTAGTGATCCGAAAATGCTTAAATGGTGGGGTCAGTATATTGAAAGTTCTGGTGATATGGATGCTGCATTGGCCGTATATCAGAAAGCAGAGGATTGGTTTTCTCAAGTGGGTTGTCGGTTAATAAGAGTTTTTATTTTAATTACCCAATAACCATGACTACAGGTTAAAATACTTTGTTATTTGGGAAAAATCTCGAAAGCGGATGTCATAGCACGACAATCTGGAGACAGAGCTGCCTGTTATCATTTAGCCCGTCATTATGAGAATGTTGGAAAATTCCAAGAAGCCATAATGTTCTACACACGGGCTCAAACGTTTAGCAACGCTATACGTATTTGTAAGGAAAACGATTTCCAGGATGAACTCTGGACCGTGGCTAGTTCTTCTCGTAGTCGTGATAAAGCGATAGCAGCCGCATACTTTGAAGAATGTGGATCTTTCAAACGTGCTGTAGAATTATACCATCGCGCTGGCATGCTTCATAAGGCACTAGAAATGGCGTTTGAGTCGGAGCAACCAGAAGTGCTAGAAATAATAGCGTCTGAATTAACCGTTGATTCAGATTCAGAGCTGGTGAATCGTTGTGCGGACTTTTTCACGAGCATCGAACAACATCAAAAGGCAGTTTATTTGTTGGCAAAGACAATGCATTTGAAGCGATCGCTACAAATCTGTTTGGAGAAAGGGGTACCGATCACCGAGGAACTTGCAGAGATGCTCACTCCGAACAAAAACGAATTTAATGAAGAAATGCGAATTGAAATTCTTACACAGTTGGGTGAACTATTGCAACAACAAGGTGACTATCACACGGCCACGAAGAAATTCACTCAAGCCGGAGATAAAGTGCGGGCCATGAAGAGTTTACTAAAATCGGGCAGCACAGAAAAAATAATATTTTTCGCAAATATGTCCCGACAGCGCGAGGTATACATTATGGCAGCCAATTACTTGCAAGCGTTGAATTGGCAAGAGGATGAACATATTCTTAAACATATTGTGACATTTTACTCGAAAGGTCAGGCATATGATTCCTTAGCAAATTTTTATGCTATTTGCGCACAAATCGAAATCGAAGAATATCACAACTACGAAAAAGCTTTAAAGGCAATGCATGAGGCGGCAAATTGCTTAAAAAAACTTGGACATTCACAACATGCGCTCAATAATTTGGAAAAAACTATAGCAGATGTGCGAAAAGTTTTGGATATACAAAACGCAATGAAAAATAACGATAATCAAGCAGTAATTTCCGGCTGTCGCAATATGTTAAGTAAGTGATAATCATGATAGAGTACTACTTGATGTATCATATAGCTGCCATACAAACTGAACGATCTAAATCATCCTTGACAAGATATCTTCACAAAATTTGTCATGAATTATTGTCCAAAACAACGGTACAATTTCCGAATTGTTTAAATCGGACCACTATCCACTTTGCATAGACCATGATCAAAATCAAGTTCTTGTATAGAATCTGTATTTGTGAAGTGTATTATAGCTTCGATCGTATTTTTATTTTTAATTGTAATTACATATATACTTCAATTTCTTTCTACTAATATGCCTTTTTAACTCCTTTTTAAGAGTTTTTTAATGCCGATTAAGATATAGTTCAAAATAATTATTTATAAATATAGTAAATAATTAATTATTATATTTCAATAATTTTAGTAAAACCAGAAACGCCACCAATACGCCAAGCGGATATTCTTGCAATGTTGGTTCGTGCATTGGCTTATTCAAAACAGTGGCCCGAAGCTGGACGAGCTTTAAAAGAATTGGCTTTGAAGGATAACGCTTGGAGCACTATTGGATTGGTTGACAAAGCATTAGTGCAAAAAATAGCAAATGAATGCAACCTAGACTTTGATATTATTTGGAATTCCGGCCGAAGACATATTAATGTTAAAGAAAACGAAACCGAGGATAACGAAGAAGAAATAGAAGAGGAATTACGATAATTAAGTATGGCTACGATGCGCACAATAAATGTGTAAAGTAATAATATATATTGTATATAGATATTTATAGATATATAATCTACATGCTCTCGTAATAATATTTGTAACAAATAGCATCCACCCTGTACGCCACTTATCGGTTAAATCACCGGGTTATTACGTAACACCGCTATCAGAGTTTTTTGTTACAGTTTCTATGAGTTTCCTAAGGACCAATTGACAATTCTACCCGTAACTCTTGTGTACGTGTGATCGTTAATATAAATTTACTAAACAATACTTTTAAATGAAATGTAACGTATTACTCGCTTAAATAAATCATTTACTGGCATAAAATTGTTGCATATATAGCACATATAATATTACCCATTTACATAAATTATATAAAATATTTTCTGTACATAATTACTTAAGAAGAAAAAGTATAGCAGAATTAAAAATGTTTACGAAAATAAAAATATTAAGCTGTATAAAACAAGTGGATGTGGATTACGTTTTAAATATTATTTCATTCAATATCTCTATTTGCGCAATATAGGTGGAATTGCTGAAGTAACAACATCCGGCATACCATTCTTGTATCATTTACTCTATGATTCCATATGTGTTTGACAGCTGTCATAAATAAGTGAAGCAAAAGACTGAAAAATATTTGTTGTTAATTTATGTTATTAGTGAATATTCATTCAAAACATATTTTCTTTTAAACTATTGTTTCGTATATTTATTTGCTGGCTTATTAAACGACAACGTCAAAAAATAATAAGTGGTAAGAATATATTCCGTTTCGGTCATTATTTCCTATATCTGTTTTGCCAGAACTTGTTGCAGTGCTGCATTTCCTTTGAACAAATATGATCTAGGTGAACATTATAAATAATAAGACGATTTATTATGCATTTTTACTGCACAATTGTTTAATTTATATGATGTATAGACTATTATCATGCTCCAACGTATTAGTGATGGTTTTATAGTGATTAGTCGTTTTCTTAAACGCCGTCGTTCTAAACGTATGTACATACCATACGTATGTAAATATTTTTGTTAAGACATACAAAATATACATAAGTATGTATGTTAAAACTTCGCAATTAAAACTCGAACTAGAATGTTTTTTTTTTGTAGAAATTCGGCTTTATACCTCACTGTATTTTAAAATTATTGGTTTCCTGCGATTTAAGTGACTAATCTATATTTATAGGCACATAACACATATGACACACTAGCATATGCATTTATTAAATTTTAATGTATCACTTCTGGCATTTGCATGTGTACCGTCAAACATATGATAAGGTGAAGAGGTGCATCTAATTATTTATATTTGGTATTTGATCTATGGTGATCATGATTCTGAAAACTAGTTAATTTGGATTTCATATTTTCATTTTTAAAATAAATTGTTTATATACAGTACATGAACTTGGATTTTCACTAAGAATATTATGCCAAACATTTTTCTACGACTAGTAAGTGTAGAATTAAAAGCTGTAAATGACAAGTGAATGGAGAAAGACTTAACTTAGAATCGTATTGAAAATACCCTAAGGCGAAAAGTAAAAAATTTTTTCGAACAGATTCTAGCTTGTCAAAATGGATTTGGTAGCTAGGACTTCATACCACAGAGCCATATTCCAATATAGGCCTAACCAAAGTTGTAAAAAGAGTTTTTAACCCAGCGTTTAACAAAACTAAGGTTATCATTTGCTTCCAAACCCATGGTATGAGTATGAGGACTAAAATTAAGTATAGGGTCCATAGTAACTACCAAATCAACAAAGTTAAAAACTTGCTCTAGTCTATACTTTTTCCATATTAAATTTAAATATTTTTTAGTAATAGTTTTTTAAATCAGAATCTCTGAAGCATTCAATTGTTGGTTAATTTTCAATGCTGGGATATGGTTTTACGACTTTATGTGGCTCTTTATTTTATTAAACATTGCAATACTAATGTATGTACATATATATGTGTGTGTGCAAGTATATATGTCACTTCGATTTGTTTCCCGAACAGTGACCGATTGTTTAAAATTGTTGTCTCATCCATGTTGCTACCACACACTAAACGATCGGCTGGTCAATTAGCTGTCTCCATAAAATCCTCGCCATACTGTTCCACTGTTGAGTTCTCTACACTTTAACTGCTTAGTTTCAGTCATTCATACGGTTCCATGCTGGAACGACGTACACCTGCTGCTCGTCTGCTCGCTAGTGATCGCATATCGTGCACAAAATCTGTGATTGTATTTGTGAGATTCTGTGTTTATATGTATTGTTTAGTAATTTTTTCCTGTTTTAATCGTTTTTAATACCAACACAAAAATATTATTTAATAGTACTTGGAGCCGTTGGTATTAATTATATTGTGTACTTTAATATTTAATCTTCTAATAATATTTTAAATAAAACTCGAGTAATAATACAACTGCATAATAACTTCTCGATAAAACGAGTAGATAAATAAGCATTAAATAAACTGCCTAAACAAGTCTAACGTCTCTCACTCAAAAGAGAGGCATTGTGTGGCTGAAAAACTTGCAGCTAAATCGTTCATATAAAACGTTTAAAAATTTAACATAACACAAACCTATTTCTTACAACATTTTCAAGCAGAAAATTTATGAATTTGTGCAATAACAAGAATAGAAAATCGTGTGACAAAAAGGTAAGTAATTATAGGTCAATTGTATTCATGCTTAACATAGGTACTATGTGTAGGATTTATTTGGTTTAAATTAATTTTCAAATTTAAAATTTTTTCCTGCAAGGAGTGTGACAGTTTTCTTGTTGAATGAATGCCATTTTGCCATCGCGTAATTTTTTATTGTATGGAATTTAAGTTCATTAATTTTATTTTAAGTTAAATTTCCCCACGTCGCTAAATTACACAACTTATAATCCAGAGGATATTAAAATTAATAGACGTAAATGTGTTTATGAGATATAATGATTCATGTAGTATGACGTATGAAATATGCTACAATACAAATATGTCACTTTTCCTTGATCCACCCCAATCGGGTGTCACGTACACATATTAAATAATTGTCTGTTTGATGTCTAAGTCGCATGTTAACTAAATGCTTGAATTACAGATAGCAGGCAAATGTGTGAATTCAAAGCTCTGAAACCATGAAAGGTTTTTCAAATGTTTTATCTCTCGTTCTGTCGTTACCTTTTAAAAACAGCTATATCTGTTGTCATTTATTATATTAGTGAATATCATGCGCTCTTGGCTTTATTACTGCGACGCCGGTATGGTGGTCAAGGTTATGCCATTCGCGTACTCAATACTTGCATATATGTAAATATGTACATACATTTGTATATACAACACATCCATACTTACTCGGACAAATCCATTCATCGGCATACAAATAAGTTCGTACTTATGCCGAAAAAACATACATACATACGTGCGCGATTAAAGTTCATTTTGTGCACTTTTCAGTTCGAATTTCTCGACAATTGTGCAGGTAGAGTTTCTCTCATTAGTATTAGCTCCATCAACTTAAACATTTGCGAAAGGAAGCAGCTTCTGAAATTCTGAAAAAAGGCAACCAAAACAAATTGTACATTGCATTGTTACAAATTGGGTAAGTAGAGATCGAACTGCTTGCAAAATTTGATATAGTTTGTTTTCTTAAAAGTTGATAACAGTGAATTAATATTAGATTGGGGCATGTCTACGACTTCTATACCAATTTCACATCATATTCATATACTTGGGAATTTGCGATGTGTCAATGTGTGAAGAAATTCTGATCTATCTATATAATATATATATATTGAGTGAATACTATGTAGTATTTTCACTTTGCGTCACTAGACTAGACTACGAAATTTGTTATCAACTAACGATTTGCATATCACTTTGATAATCGTATGCCATAACTTATTTTCATTCTGTTTTCTGTTTTCAGCTGTTCAGTTTAGTAAAATGAATTATTTAGAAGTGTAAAAAGTGTGCTACAACAGGCAAAAATACAAATTGTACTCATCTAACTATTAATTAATATATGTTTTCCAGTGAATTAATTATCCTTAAACAAATAAATATAATTTGTTTATTTCGTTTGAATATAAATTGCAATACATTTTACTAATAAACGTACAAAAATAGATGTAAACGCGCATCAATTGCATGTGCGCAATAAAAACGATTATACCTACATACATACATATAGTAAGTATGTAGATGCATACTTCTACATCAAGTTTAAATTAATACACACAAAAATATAATTACATATCTATGTATATGTATATATGTGCATACTCTTGAAATAACTAGTTTTATGACTTCCTATTTCGCTAATGAAGTTAATAGAACGCTTAGATATCAGTTGCGCTTGCCTATTTATGAATTCTCTCTCGCATGTACATATGTACATGGATTCGCATATGCCTCAAATAATTGTTGTAAGTGTTTTGTGATTGCATACTTATCAATCAAAACCTAGACAAGTTTAGAATTATGCAATTAAAAGCCAATCAAATAGCAAAAGGAGACACATACATACATGCGTATATTTTTCTATGCATTAGCTAATATTTACGCCAATGCACATGTGCATCTACTTCTAGGTGGTACATAACTGTAACTAAGCACATAAATATTTTTGTTTTTCCCAGTGTTTTTATTGACTGCCGAGACGATTATTTACATCAATTAATTAACATTTTATATACACATTTGATTAGTGCTAAGTCACTCTTATTCAACAAATATATTCAGCAGCCAACGACAACTACAAGATTCTTCATTTTATGGTATTTGGCGCCATCCAGCGTGTTTTGATGAAAAGTAAACGAATCATTAAATAAACAACAAAGTTAGAAGGTACAAACATACATATGTAGTGTATGCATGTATGTACTTATGATTGATAAGAAATTTCCTGGTCAAATGTTGCTGTGATTCATAATGATAATTCGCCTTCTTGGCTTCTAATACAAACTTCAATAAATCAGCACGTGGATATTTTTCTTGATTTTGTTTCTAAACTTAACTTCCCCTTAAACCACTGCAAATTTGCACTATTTTAAATTATTAAAGCGTCGTTGATTAAAATAACTGCTCGGCAAATAGAACTCTTAGTGATAAGAAATACTAATTGCTTTGATAAAACATTTGTAATATGTCTACTATTTGTACTGTAGATACTTAAAAAATATTATCTATGTATGTTAATAAAAAAGTGTGTATGTATGTTTATCAGCAATCGGAATGGAAATCACTTGATAACGCACTCAATGTATTATATATACTTGTATTTATTGTATGCATAAAAGATTAAACTTACAAATTTTAACTTTTCTTAGTTTATTGTTGCATGACATGCACTAAATGCACTCAATACATAGTAACGGAAATTACCTAAATAAATCTGAAATATTTTTAACCAAGTGAGAACGTTTTGAAACAGTAGATTCGATTTGTATTCTCTAACTTGCTTTTGGTTTATGAAGTTATTTAATAAGTATTTTTGATTTTGAGGAATGCTGTTCTAGTGGCAGACCTCAGTCGCCTATAAATGCGTGTGTTTAATACAGACAGTAATTTTGGGAATATATTTCTTCGTAAAATTTGGTTTTTAGAAGATTTTAAGATTTTATGGTGGCATAAGTTTGGGATGAGCCTGAGACATATTGCTCCTTTTATGTACAATAAATAATTGAAAAAGGAATGTTGACGGTTCCATTTTGCGATGCATAATTTTCCTACTTCCTGCGATTGCCTCTGCTTTTTTGAAGAGAACTTTGATGTCGATACTTAATAAAAGTATTTCTTTTCTGTTCTAGTTCTGACTAATTCAAGGCAAAAAATGTATGAAAAAAGAAAATTGTGTTTTCAATGAACGGGAGAAAAATTATTTAAAATTATGAAAAAGTATCGTTGTTCATAACTTCCTGCCATATTATCCGCTAATTTCACTATAATAACTCGACGGTGAAATAAAAAAAAATTAATTACATGATAATAAGCACTTCTAGTTTAGCCTGACGTGTTTGAAGGTATATTAAATATTTATACTTAACTAATTGAATTTTCAAGTTGTATGACATCTAGTTAAATACCTATATATTACATTTCAACATGTACGCTATTGAACTTCAAACTTTATACTTCCGTCTCAACGACATAAAAGTCAAATGTATGTACATACACATTCTGAGAATTCGAAATATAATATTTACTATCAGCACAGATTCCACAACTAGTGTAAAAAGTTATCACATTGCTATAAAACTGCAAAGTAGGTTTAATGAACAATGAAGAGCATATTTGTAATTAAAATTAAGTAATTGAGTTCACCAGCCTAAATAATAAAATGATTAATGTTTAAATAGCAGCTGTTAATGGAACGCTTTCATTTTTTTGTTCAGAACTCAAAACAATATAGCAGACACTTACATACTGGTATGTAGCCATTAATTAAGTTAAAATATATGTCAAATAATAAGTTGTATTTTTAAATGCATGTAAAGTGCAAAAATTCGTAGTTTCTTGAACCAAGCCCCATCACCGCAACCCTTGTACATGTTCTAAAGATTAGTAAACGTTCAAAAATGAAATAACTAGAACAAGTCAGTGCCTACCTGTTGGAAGCTAATATTTGTTATATGTCTGCGTTGTTCACGTTTCTAAGCAATTTCGCTAGCTATTTGCCTTATTTCATAATCCACTTTCTAGCTTTTTCTTTGTCATTAAATTTTAAATGCCAAAATCAACACCTGATAACACCTAAATTGGGTCTGACTATGCGCAGCATTTGCAACTTAAGTGCTCCATGCGAGTTTGTGTAAATGTGTGTGTGTGTCGGTTATGTTATTTATATAATATATATTTGTGCTCCTCTCGTTCTACCCGACCTGACGACAGCTGTTCACTTTTCAAATTACAATTCCATTTCAATTCTCATTTGTTTTGTTTTTGCCACTTTGTGAGCCATTTGCATGCACATACTTACATAGCTACTTGTGTGTATTTTTCCTAAATATTTATTTTTTTGACATTGTGACCAGTGCCATGGATCTTTTCATTGGGAGACTCGGTCGCCTTTGTCGCCCCCCGACGCAGACATTATGCGCAAACTTCCAAAATGCTCGCATTGAGTACGGTATAAATAAAGTACAGAGTGAGAAATTCCGAATACGTTAATTTTATGCTTATACATATGTATGTATGTATGTATGCACGCCTGCACACATATGCTTGGTACAATGATGCAGACAGACTATTGACAACTGAAATCAAAATCTCAAGGTGCACGCGTTGCAGTTGATTTTGTCAGCCTGATATGTGAGCAAAAGGCACCACAGCTGTTCATGTGTATTAGAATGCATGTGTAGTATTTTGTGTAATCGGTACTATTAGGAGGCCAGTGGATGAGCAAGCTTTTGTTCAGCGGGTCTTCATACCCAAAATATGCGTTACATAGTGTGTCTCCGTTCCTGACTGTCTCGCAGTTATTTTCTATTTATTTTTGTTTATGTGTATGTTTGTATGCATTTGTGTCTGGAAAAGTGCCTCCTACTCAATAAATGACCAGGTTGGGTTCTGTTAATTTTTTTTGTCTTTTATTGTCTGTTGACATGTCGCTGATTTACTCCGATTATTCAAATTGCACAAATTCATATGCACTGTACGTATCTACATAT